TGGAAAGGTTAGTGAAATTGCTGACGCAGCATATAATTATATGTTGTGGTTCAATTTTTTCCTTGGTTTAATTTTTATTTCCCTTTGTTTTAAACTCATTTCCATGCATTTCCATACCCCAAAACAAAGGGAAATAAATTTAAACCAAGGATAAAATTGAACCACAACTATAGTGATAGTTGTATTAAGTAGACATCCCCTGGACCCCTGTGTGCGACAAATGCAGACTGCAGACTGGTAGGTAAACGAGGTAAACATCCTTGTGAAATGCTCTAACTGATTTCCTATCCCTACATAGACTTTTCGAAGACTTAAACTTTAGGGATAGGGACCTGTTAGAGCATTTCACAACAATGTTTACCTCGTTTACCTGCCAGTCTGCAGTCTGCGTTTGTTGCACAGTGCCTGGACCCTCACTATGAATGAAGTGAATGAATGAAATGTTGCAGCTGAGAGGACAACACACATGTCCTCTTTACATAATATATCAAATGTTAACAGTAAGCACAGACATCAGAATACAAGGCTGGTGCCCTTGGCAGCGGCTAGTGGTGCGTTTACTAGCCTGAGAAAGCAGCGACATTTTGTGATGCTACCTCTGGTTTCCCTGCAAAATGGTGTCTGAGAAACAAGCTGATAAAGTCCATATTAATGAAGCGTTACTACTGGGGTAACTAGGTACCCAGATCTGGGTAGTGCATTTATGTATTCATTTCTCAGACATCATTTCACAGGGAAATCAGTGGTGGTGTCACAAAATGTTGGCTGGTTTCTCAGGCTATCCATTTATAAGCTTAATGTCATAATTTTAGTATTATTACATGGTTCACACAGGCCTTTAAAAGTCCTTGAAAACTGAAAAATTGTGGGATATTGTCGAAAAGCCCTTGAATTTTTCACAGAAGTCCTTGAATATTTTTGAAAGCTCCTTGTTAACTGTTAAGTTAACTGGGTGGCAGTGAGGAGAAAAATTGGAAGTTAATGATGCTCATGTCCACTTACAGTATGGGATCAACTTAACGTAGGTATCACAGCATCAGAAGAAATTGAAGTCAGCTATACAAGAGCTTGCCAAATGTTTCCTTTTTCCAATAATACATATTACACGGCAATGATTTTTATGAAGTCCGAACTCCCTGAAAAAAGTCTAATTTATGTGTTAAACCATTCTTTTACAACACGTAGCCACCCATGCACCCAAAATTCAAAACCTGTTTTTCCAAATAAAGCCACACCATGGTTGTAGCTCATTGTTAGTCAGCATTATTAAGGTTGCAAGATTACAGTTCTTCAATTAAGTTTTCCTTGATGAAGGAAGCAAAGGTTTGTGTGCAGTCTCTGAAGGAATTATTTTTCATCACAGGTAATGCTCTGGCAGTTTGCCGAGGAACATGGTTCACTGGATCTGGAGCACCCGAGTTGTGGCAGCCTATTGTTGAGGAAGATGCAGAGCAGATTGAGATGTCACATCAGACCATTTGGAGGTCTATGGTGAGTCCTGACTGAACAAAATACTGTGTAGAGTATTGTAAAAGCAGTACATGTAAATGCTGTCGCTCAGCAAGTTTGTGCACTTACCAAAACAATTTTGGTAGTTCAAAAGTTCTAGTTTTTAATTGAGGCCCTCGTAGGGGGAGTGTGTATATTACAGGTCAAAATTAATTTCAGGTTAATGTTCTTTAACCTCGGTTGATTCTCAAGTTCCTTTGTCTCCTAGCCTTAATTTTTCATGAATTAGAATCAACCTACAGTCTCAGTCAAAATTGTTGCAGACACTTCGCTGTCTTCTTGCCCTCCCAATGTTGGTGTGCAAGATTTGGTGAGTTAACTGTGATAAAAAACATTGGGAGGATGAGGAGACAGGCCAGAAGTGGAAAAACAGCTTTGGGTGGAATTGTCCCAATTAGTGCATTTATTTGGCTATAAGCTGATCTTGGCTGTAAGCCAAGACCTTAAACTTTGAACTCGTAAAATTAGAAAAACCAAGAATGAAAGATTAATCCAAAACACCCAGCCATAAGCCAAGACCCCAGTTGGGCTCAAATTTCACTGAACTTTAGCCTTAATTTGTGTAAAAATCGCTTGGCTTATAGCCAAATACATACGGTATTTTTGTCTGAGACTGTGAGTTAAAAAATTTTAACCTGAATTTAATTTTGACCTGTAACACATTATGTCCCTAGTCTGAATTTCAAATACGGTTGTTTCTTGGTCTGAGGAGTAGACCATGTCCCTGTGGGTATTCAAGCCATCTTTATGTCATTTGTCGCCATTTTATCTACTTTTAGTTACGGTAGTCTTATTTTGCTGTTTCAAGACCATGTCGCTTGTCAGAATTTTATTCTATCAGGGCTTTTTATTAATTGAGGTGAGGTTAACCCTTTAAGCCCCAGTATCTGCATAAAAATTCACCCAACTGATCTCTATGCATTTCCTTACTGAATCAGTTAGGAGAATTTGATAAAAGATCAGAGCATTTTCCCTTTGGTGATTATTTTATTAATTCTCATGACCTTTTCTCTTGATTGTGTATTGATCATCTCAGGAGAAAATTGATGTTGATCTCTCTTGTGGGACTTTAAGGGTTAACCTCAGGCTAATGTTGCCAGTGGGTTGACCCATTTTGGAGACTCTGTATGGGTACTTCTGATGAATTCAAGGTTGCTTGATTAATATTGATGAGCTAATGATCTTAGAGATTAAAGCAAAATTATTTGCATTGCCATTGCTGATCAAGGCTAACAATTTAAGTCATACAACAGAAAAGAAGTCTACCAAAATTAATAATGTGATGCTTCTTGAATTATTGCTTTTTTGATTTTCTTGTTTCCCTCATTTCATTGTTGTTGCTCAAACCTGCTAGTAATGCTACCACACAAGACAAAATTATTCTTTTATGTATAAGCAATGATTTCTTTGAAAATTGATGATTTGATGGAAAATGGGTAAAAAAAAGAGATGTTCGCACATGATCTGCACATGATCTCTGTAGACCATCCCTCAAGTTTGTGTTTTTGTGCACTGGCTCAGTGGCAGATCCACGGTCTGAGCACCCTCCATTCTTTGTTTAAATGTATTATATTTTGCTCGTTTTATTAAATTTTATGCATCAAACTTTCTCAGTTGTATAAGTTGTGTGATACTGTTGTTTAAGAACAGATTTGTTTCTTGTAGGGTCTTTATGTTGGACCAGATGAAAGTGAAAGAGCAGTTTCTGAACGACAAGGTAATGATTGTTTTGTGTAAAAAATTATTGTGCTAGAATTTTGATTTGCCAGTGCTTCATCTCTTCCCGTAAAATTATTGTAATGTTTCAATTTTTTCTTATGCAAGTGAAATGTCCATTATAATGTAGTTAAATTGCTGGAGGCAAACATTAATGGAATAATTATTTTTTAATTAATTCTGTATTGTTTAATTATTCTGTTTCTGTTTTCATTGTTATTACCCTGATATCTGCTAAAGACCCATAGTAGTGCTTAACCCTTTATAAGCCCCAAGGTCCATATACAAATCATGACATTTCTTTTAAGAATAGTTGAGAGATTTTGGTGTAAGATCATTTAAGCATTTCCCCTTTGGTAATCAATTTAGTAATTCTCATAACCTTTATTCTTGATGATCCGCTGATGTTGTTATGAGAAAATTGATCTTGGTCACTCTTGGGACCCAAAGGCTTAACCTTGGGGAAAACACTTCCCAGACCTCCGTGTATACCTTGATTATGTGGTAGCTGGTCAAACAACTCTAATTCCCCTGTTATCAGGACTTGGCCGACTCAATTTGAAAGGCTTTTATGTGGAGTGGAATGACATCACAGACGTGTGGCTTTACTGGGATGACATGAAATCTAGAATCATAAGAAATGTTGGTGAAAGGATTGGGTTTTCGTCAGGTATGATAACAATAACAGTGTTATTAAAATTGCTAAAAACAGTTCAGCTTATAAGCCCCATGCTATTGGACACGACTTTCTTTGCACACTGTTAGGCATGATACGTACTTTCCTGTTACACTGTCCTATTAGTGCTGAACTCAGGACAGTTGATAGCCAATCAGATTTGAGAATTTTGTTACAGTTATTATTAATGTAGTTATTGCCAAGAGCATTTAAAACTTTCAATGAAACATTGTCCATTGATTGTTTCATTAGGGGCAGCTACTCAGCTTCATCGTGGATACCATACAGATGCCAGCCCTGATGACAGGCCTCATGATATCACTCACTTGGTGTTTGTCGTCCATGGCATTGGACAGCTGCTTCACATGAGCAATATTGTTAGGAGTTGTGCTGAGTAAGCATTTTACTTCACTTTTGATTCAGACTTTTTTAATTTAAAGTGGCAGGGCTGAAAGTCATTAAAGGTCATTGGCCTTGGATTTCCACTTGCTACTGTTTGTAAGACCTGCAGCTACTTTCAAGAAAAGTTAGCCTGAGAAAACAATGCCACCACAGGTTTCCCCACAAAATGATGTCTGAGCAACGACTGCAGAAGTTCCCTACTGATGACATTCACTACCCAGATATGGGTAGTGCTTCTGATTGGTTGAAGGAAATTTCTCTTGCCACACGACCAATCAGAAGTACTACGCAGATCTGGGTAGTGACATGTCATCAGTTTGGAATTACTGCAGTCATTGCTCAAATGTCATTTTGCAGGGAATCCAGTGGTGCGTCGTGAAATATTGGCTTTTTTCTCAGGCCAATAGAGGAAAGTAGAACCAAAGAACTTCCTGGCTGTTCAATTCCTTACCTACTTGTTGCTTATAATACTCTGGCAAGGCAACTTACTTTTCTTTCTGCCCATTTTTCATTTTTTTGATATATTCAGTGATGGAACACTCTTTCCAGAGTTCAGTGCACCATTCCCACATTCTTGTGAACAAATTAAAGCTCTATAATTTTGAGGCTTGGTGGAGCAAAATAGTTATAGTGATTTCTATGGAATTGTTCACCCAAGCTTCCACCTCATTTCATTGTGTGTGCTTACTAGAGCAGAATTTTTAGGATTTATGTTATTCGTTTTTTTGCCCAACATTATGTAACACCTGACAGCCTTCGACATGGAGCAACTACTGTTCTAGGAAAACAACCTGATATTCCTCAAGAGAAGAGGGTGGAGTTTATTCCTGTGGAATGGAGGTCATCGCTAAAATTGGATGAAGGTAAAAATATCTCAGCCTAGTAAACAGTACCACAGGAAATACAGCTGGTAGCTTAACGTTGAATAGTCACACGTTAGGATTTCATCCACAGAATTTAAAAGTAAGAGCCACCTTGTACAGCACAATAAACAGTACCACAGGAAAGTACTGCTCAGCAGCTTTCAATTGAATGATCACACCAAAGGATTTCGTCCACAGACTCAAACGTTAGAACCACCTTGTACAGCATAATAAACAGTACCACAGCAAAAGTACTGCTCAGTAGCTTTCATTTGAATGATCACCTCACTTAAATTCATACACCAGTCTCAGTAGTTAGAAGTACATGTTTTCATATCCTTGTTTTAGGGATTGGAAGGGCTAAGCTGATATGTCCCTACACAATGCCTACGAACAGTTGTGACTGAAAGTTCCAAGTACAAACACCGTTTCGTTTGGAGGCCGTGCATTCAGCCTTGCAGCGCCGAAACAATGGAATTCTGTTTCATCTGAAGTTTGATCTGCTGAAAACTTTGTATTGCTTATTTTTCTGTGGACCTTGACAATATTGCACTTTTTTATTGTTAACATTCTCTGTTTCTAGTTTTTAGGATCTTAAATGTTTGTCAGATTTTATATTCTTTTATTTTTTGCAGTCCCAATATTTCTTGTTAAGCGCTTTAGAGCCATGTATAAAGCGCTATATAAATAATGAAGTATTATTGTTATTATAAACTGAGTACTGTTTAACTGTTGAAGGTACCATTGAGTGTATTACACCATCGTCTGTGTCTGGTCTGCGGAAGGTACTAAACACAAGCATGATGGACATCATGTATTACACAAGTCCATTTTACAGATATGAGGTACAAAACGATTTTAAATCAACCTGCTTTGCTGTTAGAGCTAAGCCACTTGCAAACCTTCACATTCCAGTTCAAAGTCTCTTGAAGAGGGGGGAAAAGAACTAAAGACCCTTGATAGAAAACTAAAACAAGCTCAACCCACATACAGTATCTTTCTCCCACGCAGGGCCCCATGCACTTTCTTTTTTTCCTTCTCCCAGCCTCCCTACAACACAAAAGGGAACTTAAGCAACAACGAAGGCGACGTCTACGAAAACTTCACTTAAAAAGTGAATTCGCGCTGCCTCAAACTTTATCTCGCTTGTTCTATTTCGTTTAATTCGTCACATGTTGGCAAATTTTTTTGGAGTTGGATTCCAAAGGACTCTATCAAAGTTCAAGAAAAGAAAAAGAAACTTGTTGTTTTGTGTTCCCGTCTTCGACAAAACGTGAAATTAGTCACTTTCACGTCGTAGTCGTGCAACGACGGCTAAGAAATGTACAAAAAAGCGTGATGCACGTGCAAAGTTGTTTTTTGCTAAGATAAACCTATCGCTTTTTTGCCGTTCTCGTTGCCGTCGCCGTGGTCGTCGTCGTCGTTGCTTAAGCTCCCTAAAGAAACCTCTGCGGAGGAGAGAGCCCACATATTACCGGGCCATATTGTGTAGTTACAGAAAATAAACACACTCCCCTACAGAGCCAAGAGATTAGAATTTAGATTGGAATTTCTGCTGTGTCAGGGGGTTCATAGAACAGTCCCTTCCCTAAGTGGGCAGTATAGAATATTTTCTGGAACTGCAGATGAACGAAAACTTCTCTGAGGTGCTCCCTTGTCTAAGCTGTTTGGTTGAAGGAGTGAGTGTGCTGCCGGATAAGGGTTTTTGATGATGGCAGACTGTTTTCCTTTGTGTAGGTAATCGTCAAGAGCTATTTCATTGTTAAAATTACTGGTCCAGCCATGGTCCGACTTGGCTTCATTCTCCGAAGTCTCGATGCGCCTGCAGTACTCCCCACCATTGCAGTGGCGGATCCAGGGGAGGAGCTCCCCCCCCCCCTTATCTCAAGGTCTGGATCCGGCACTGCATTGGGTGGGAGAATGGAGAAACCCAAGGCAGCCTAAGACTGAGCCTATGGTCCCGCCGGCCAGTTCCGACTTTTGGAAAGCACCCTGAGTTATCCTTTTGTTACTTTTTCGTTGCAGATCATTGACGGAGTAAGAGATGAAATGAATCGCTTATACAACATGTTCTGCTCTAGAAATCCCTCATTTCTGGAAAAAGGCGGAAAAATTTCAATTTTAGCCCACTCACTCGGCAGTGTCATTGCGTACGACATCTTAACTCTCTGGGACATTGAGTTAAGACACCTATCCCATGATTCAACAACTGGGACAGGCTTTCTCACTGAGAGCCTGCATTATCTGCGGTCAGTTACCAGTAGAGGTAGTGTTGAAAGCATGGAGACTAGTGCTGAGGGTAAAAGAAAAGAGAACTTGAGAGTGGAGTTAGCCAAGGCTCGCAGTCAAGTCATGAAACTTGAGGCTATGATAGCAAGTGAAGTAGAACATGAATCATGTGGTGCAAACAATGGTTCAAACGAGTGCCCCTATGCTCTGAAATTTAAGGTGTGCATGGTGAAGTTATGCCATGATTAGTGTACTAATGGAAACTGTTTGCAGTCAACTCTGTCTGAGACTTCTGCGCTGGGATGGAAGCTTTGGACCTGACACTACGTGTCTGCCTCAGAGAAATGTCGGGACCCCTCCCCTAAGCCAACATTAACACTTACTTCTCACATACGGCAAAATGCTGGCTTAGGGGAGGGGTAGGTGGGCAGTTCACTTCCCCTCTTTCCGCTATTCTTTTCCTCCCACAGGCCAAATACCAAAAAAAAGGGGACAAAATGCCCACCTAACCCTCCCCTAAGCCAACATTAACACTTACTTCCCATTTAGGGCAAAATGTTGCCTTTGTGGAGGGATAGCTGGGCAGTTTCCCAGAAACTTATAACGATCGAAAATGTCTGTCTCACAGCAAGGAGGTCAAAATTTTTAACTAGAATGGTCAAAACTGTGACCCGTGCGGTGTGAACACTCGAGCATCTAAGTTTTTTTACGGAAAAGGCGTTATAAAGGCGCGGTTGCATGGATGCGTGGTGGGGGACGCTATTTTGGATATACTTAAGTAGCGCCCTGCACACGGGTAGATGATTAAACTATTGAAGAAAGTTAAAGTTCAATTTGGTTCATCAGTTCCGTGTGAACGGAGCGTAGATAATTGTGCAGTTTTGAGTCGGATATTCAAAGAGTTCATTAGCGCTTTCTTAATTAAGTATTGAGTTTTCCGTCCATGGACTTTTTAGAATCGGATGACCGAGCGCGGAGAAAACCAACAGTGGGACCCGAGTTACTCCAATACTCTAGTCCAAAAGTTCACATCATTGAGCATGCTTGTAGTGATATAGTCCGTGATTTTGTTTGGTGTTTTTCACTTCACGTTATTGATTCACAGGTGGAAAACTTATTCTGCCTGGGATCACCGCTGGCAGTATTCCTGGCGTTACGAGGGCTTAGACCTCAAGATGACGTGGAAGATCACGTGCTTCCTAAGTCAGTTTGTAAGCGTTTGTTGAATGTTTATCATCCAGCCGATCCTGTGGTAAGATATTATGTACTAGTACTCGACTTGTTTTGGTCCCAGTTTAAAGGTTTTATGTTTCTATATTGATGTGGGCTCTTTAGACTGGAGGACAAGCACGACCACGAGGAAGAGATTTAACTTTAAGTTTTTCGCTTATTCCCAAAAATTTGACACCCCGGAAAGCTTCATTGTACCTAGTTAGCACGAAGGAGGTTAAGCCCTCTCCGTAGCGCAAAATAATAAAACTTCCAAAATTTGATAACTTGTTTCGCCAGTTTGACACTCTCGCTACAACCCTTAGCGGAATGACGACCGGACGGCTACCACGTTTTCCCCCCCAAAATGACGCTTGTTCACGCGTGAGCACCACTTAATATTGAGTTAAATCTCATCCTCGTAGTCGTTCCCGTATTAGAATCTTAAGGTCTCATATTACTAGAAATACGTGTATCGCAGAACCTCGCGAAGCTCGGTGGGGTGGGCGGGGCTGGCCCATGAAATGTCAGGCATGGAAGGGGGAGAGAATTGGAGTAAATTGGGTAGCTTGGGAGGGCTCTAATATTGGAAGGTGAGATGTACTTAATCGCCTTTTGGTTGGAGTAAATTTCAACCCAGTGCTCTTTTATTGAAGGGATTTTCTGGGATTTATATGGGGTTGGTGTTGTTAAGGAAGGGTAGCCAATGTTTCATAGGTCCCGTGTTCACCCTATTTGACCCTCCTACATGTGTAATTATAGTAAAAGAAAATGGGTGTGATAGTGAATAACTGTAGGCGAATATTTAGCAAACACATGCTATCTTTAATGTGTATAAATAATTACTTGTGAAGTGTGTCATTAGTAGTGAGTGGATGAAATGGTAGGAGATAATGCTGCAGTGATTATAGCAAGTAAATGCTGGTAATTGGAGAAAAAAAATTATGGTTAAGTGATTACAGCAAGAGAGTGTTTGTACTTGTTGTAGTACATAATCACACTTGACAACGTAAAACAGTGAATGAAGTGTTCCGTTGTTTTCAGGCGTATCGTCTGGAACCTCTGATCAGTGGAGACTACAGTAGCATTCCTCCTGTACAGCTGCACCGCTTTGACAGCAAACAGGCCGGATACACCGAAGCTAAACCCAGCAAAACCGGGCAGGCAGCCGGCAAGTGGGGTGGCCTGTTCCGTGTTGGATTCTCGAGACAGAAAACAGAAGAGGCCGACGCCAGCTCGAATGGCGAAGAGAACATGGACGAGGACGATCTGGTGGTCGTACACAATGCGGCATCAGCGGACAAAAGTACAGGTAAACTTTTTTTATTGACTTATGGATGCGCGCAGGGCGTTGCTTACCAAATACTTACCATTTACACGAGAAATCCGGAAATTCTGCGGTTCGCGTCCTTCTGTTTGGGCACCTTCAGAAAACTTGGGCTGTGATTCGAGGAGATGTAATTTTTCTACTCCTTTTAGTCTGCTCAGGTGATTTGGATATACATTGTATTATCGCATCGTTTTTTGAGTGACGCACGTGAGCTAGAGTGTGGTCTTTTTGCATTCTTTAGCAATGGTTTTGCCTTAATTTTTAGGGTAATTCGTCACTACTGAGTTAAGGCACTTAGTAAGACAAATTTAGTGGCATTGAGCCATGTTAAAAGAGGGGAGAGCTCTCTTCCGGTTGACTTGCCTCGCTCAAAAACTTCTTTCAGCTTAAGGTTTCCTATAACTCTGTCTCAGTAATCCACAGCGTTGAATTTACAGATTCATTTTGCACGAGTGTGCTGTTATATGGGCACGCCCGATGGCATTTACGAAGGCAGATTGGCCTTATTACAGTTGCATGTTAGGAGCCGCCTTGCCTTATAGTTTTCCCAGGCCTCTGTTTCAAATCGAGGTTAAGTGCGTTTCGGTCCCGTCCACTCGTGTCCGGATAGTTTTGAATCCGCAACTTATTTTTTTCCGGATTCAAAAATTTCCACGTCCACACGTATTCGTCTTCAAATCGAATTTGCCCCTCCACACGTATCCGACACGTATCAGGATACACTCTAGCACCCAGGACTCCTCTGGGAATATTGGCAACAGAGCATGCGTCGAGGTATTCATGGTAAAGAACTGGACTCGATCTTGTTATGTCACCGGATAAAAAAATATACCGGGGTTTAGCGTCCACACGATTCCGGATTCACAGCGTAATCAAAAATTTCCATTCTGGAGAGCGGATTCAAAAAGTAGTGGATTCGCATGCTGGATTCTTCGGATACGTGTGGACGGAAGTTGTATCCGGAAAGAAAAAGTTGCGGGTTCAAAAATATCCCGATACGTGTGGACGGGGCCTTATTCAAATCCCAATAAAACACACTTTTTGGCAAGAAAGGTTTTGTTTTTGATCTCGTTTTGAAAGTGATTCATGCTCTGTAAGCCTCATGTAAAGGTCAACACTCGTAGATAAGAATTTTAAAAGAAACCAGCAACTTTTCTCTCTGTCTTTTTCTTTTTGGCCTTGTTCAGAAAGACATAACTTGAGGAAATTGAACCCAACCCGAAACTTGTTTTATGTCCCAAAAACCAGTAGAAACACTGATAGATGATTTTCCTTCAGTGAATGGCAGTGAAGGGCAGTGTGTTGCCATGGCTACAGACGGGCCGTCATCATCTCCTTCAAAGAGGAAAGGTTGGATAGCGAGTCTGTTTGGTTCAACATCCAGTAACTCAAGTCAGGAAACAGAAGAAACAGATAGCACTAAAAAACAAGAACAGAGCCATAAAGAGGAACACATAACAGTCCCTGCAAAAGGTAACTGCGCCTCGTCACGGGTTCAAACCCCTTTGAAGTCCTGAATTTTTTACAGACTTCTTTCGTAATTGCGTAAATTGCGTTCACAACTGCGAGGATCATTTCTTCATTTGATTTCATTCCTGCAGTTCTTATATGATTTATTTCGTATACATCTATCATCTGCACCTCCTTTGTAACATTTCGCTACAGCCTTTTTGTTGAACAGTCGTGCGATAGCAACGTGGCTGAGAGGTCAGCGAGTCTGACGCAGTGTACCTAATGTGCAGGTCCGTGTGCTAGTCCATCTTTGACCAGTAGCGGAAGGTGTTTCTCTGGAGTACCGAGTTCAGTTCCTCAGCCAGCCTTGTAGATAGCAACTGCTTTTCCCTCTGTCCACTAGCGTGCGTTTATAATTGGACGATTTTTGCTCTATTCTCTATTTTCCAATTGTCCATAATACACTCTGTTTGCCCCCCAAATTCTGCATAAACCATTGTTTTTAAATGCTCCTGGGAGTATTGCATTTTCCCAAGAGCATTTTCAGACAATAAGTTATGCAAAATTTGGGGGCCAAACAGAGTGTATTATGGGCAGTTGGAAAATAGTCAATTCATATTTGAGTAGAGTGTCTAAACAATCTTGAACACCATGAACACACCGTTCACTTTTAGACTTAACTGTCAAAACTGTGGCGATTCATTGTTAAGTGAGCCTGGATGAAAACTTTTGCAGCTTTCTCGGAGCATTACGACTCTACCGTTTTTCCTCAAATATACGCCCGGGTAGAAAACAAACAAAGCAACTGAATCCTGATACGATTCTTAGCCGTAAATGTCCGAGAACCAATTGCACGGTCAAAATTTTCCTCTGAGAGTGGTTGTGGTGGTAGTGGCAGGGTTCTATCTTAGATCTATCGTTTGGGGAAGAAGTCCCGAGTGGCCGAAGGCCACGAGCTTCCGTCCAGGGGCATGCCCCCTGGACGGAATTTTTGAAATGAATATGTGCTGAGATGCAATTTGGTGCATTTTGAGACACAATTTTGAGAAGTATTACAGTGTGTGCAGTGACCTGCAGTGACGATATAGTTACTTAATACTGTAATGATAACTATATTAATTTTTTTGGGGGGAAGCTGGGCATTTTGGGGGAGGAAGCTTCTACCCCTCAGATACCCTAGATAGAACCCTGGTGGTGGGGAGGTATTCCTAGGAATTCCTGTCGGTGGTGTGTCGCCCTCTTCTCCCAAGACAAGAGAGAATGAGCTAATTCTCTCTTGCCAAATACTGACCCTGTTTCAGACCAAAACTTGCCATTTCCCAAATCCGTTTTCACATGCGGCTTCTGAAAGTTGTGCGCTGTTTGAGAAACCATTGCTTTGTTCAAGCTAAGTCAATGTTATTTAATCCTCTCTCACTATTTAGTAGTATTTGACGCTGCGCTGTTGTGGTTCCCTTGAAAACTATACCCGATTTTAGACCTTAATGAGGAAAATCTATACCCGGTTTTAGCCAAAATAGCAAATAAACCATTGCCTTTTGGGCGGCATTTACCTGTTCAGCTTTTATAAGGAAGCAACCGTAAGGGTTTCGCTCGACAGGAAGTTTAGGCAGCGGCGTTTTTGAGCGACACACGTCGACCGGAAGTGAGCTTTTTTTCTCTTTTATTATGCCTTGACGCTACCAAATTTGTATGGGTAAGTGTCTTTTAAACAATAATTTCTGGAGACCGAATGGCCTCTGAGTCAATAGCCCATGGGGCCGAAGGCCGAATGGGCTATTGACTCAGAGGCCATGAGGGCGAGTTGGTCAAACACATAGATTTTAATCCTTTTTTTGCCGCCAAAAAGCCAGCGCTTTTCGCTACTAGTGGGCTATGACATATAGCCTAGTAGTAGCTCAACCAATCAGAACGCAGCATTGATAATAGACCACTAGTTGGATTTTACTAAACTCTTATAGAGACGAATTGCCCAAAATTTTTCCACATCACGGCCGAAGGGTGCAAAAAGTTCACTTCCGGTTGACGAGCGTCGCTCAAAAACGTCATTGCTTAAACTCCCTCTTATCTCAGATCAGCTGTTCATGTCCCGAAGATCATTGACTACAGTGTAGAAAGTTTTTGCACATTTATAAGGAGGAGGTGTTCTCCTCTAAGTTTGTTAACATTAACACGTTATATTTTGTCTTTCAGTGCTGAAAGAGAGACTTGATTACACATTACGAGAGGGATACATGGAAAGCAACTACTGGTCAGCGGTTACTTCTCACGTGTCTTACTGGGCGTCGTGTGATGTGGCGCGGTTTATCCTTGAAAATTGCCTGAAAAGTAACCCGGATGTTACTGAAAATATGGAGCAGTCTTGACTGCGAATTTACAGCCGTAAAAATTAACCTAATCAGTAAACTTAAATAAGAGTAAAAAGATAAAAAGGTTAACCGTTCACTTTGATGATAACTAACAAAAGAAAATAAAAGGAAATTTGTTGAGCTAGGCCATCAATCCAAGGTGCTATATATAAGAGTGTATAAAATCTAGAGAAATTTACGGTATTTATGAACAGCGAAACAAATTTTTGAACTATGATAGGAGCAAACTACACATTGACAGCACATAACCATATCTATAGAACACAAGAATAAAACAGATATTAAATAATCTTGATACTTTTATTTTTCTAAATGACCTTGAAAAGGTTTTTGATTTGTGGCAAAAGTTTCGGTTGTTTGTGCTCATCTGAAGTTATACGTAATTGTGACATCTGTTCACTGTTTTCTGTTTAAATGAAGAAATTTAGTGCATTTGATTTTTTGCGTTGTGTTATTTTCCATTTATTTTTTTAAAGGAGTAATCCTTTGACATCGAAGGCCTCCAAAAGTCGAATTTCTAAAGAAAATCTCAAATCTTAATTTGTGATAAATCACGAAAAAGGAGGAGATGAATTTACAGCTCACGAGACATTCGTTCTGGTCCATACCTATCATCTCTCTCGAAAAGCGTGTATCTTTTTATTATGCTTTAGATTATTTATGAATTCTCCAAAAATAAATAGTTTTTTTCTTGTTAAAATATGTCGCGAGTATTGATAACTTTTTTGTCGAGAACTGAAGCGAATAGCCGGGACATATTTTCTCTTTAATTGTAACACGAACGTTCAATAAATATATTATACACAATATTCTCTTGTATATTTGTGCATTCGTTAATTTGTCTTGCAGAAGAGATGACGTCATCACCTTGTAGTAGATATGACGTCACCAGATGGCAGTGGTGACGCAGTATAGGTAACGTCATCACATAACAAAGTCACATCATCATGGGAGTTTGAGCGATGGAGTTAATCTTGTGCTTTATTTCACTTTCACTTGTAATCTCCTCAGATTTTCATAAGTCTAAGTATGGTGTCTTTTTCTAGAGTTCCATAAACTGTGAGTATTTGTTCGATAGCGCAGATCTTTTAGCGTCCCCATTTTTCCTTAACGCGAGAAACATGCATTTTCCTTTTCTGTATGCTCTTTCGGATTTGAACACCATCCAGCCAGTGTGCGTCATTTCTTGAATAAACAATGTACTTGACTGAAAGTGCTTCTGTTGGATAAACAACGAAGTCATGATTAAACCATGTTTAATTACATTTGAAATGCAAAGTTTAAACTTTGTATTTCAAATGTAATTCTTTTACCAAGGTTGTCGAACAATCTTTAGGGGTTTTTCATGTTTTTTTTTTCAGGTGCCCTCAGCCATTGACCTCATGGTGCAAAATTGGTCCGTGCATTGTTCGAACGACTATAAAGGATACTTAACAGAGCCGGAGTGCAACGGCTCTACAGAGTAACGCCTGAAGGAGGTCACACCAGAAGGCCAAAATAATCCACTAATCGAACCTGGTCCCCTGCAAATGGTCCCCGCCTAACGGGATACCTGAGCAAGTCGGAGTGCAAGACCGCTGTAAGTCAACGGGACTCACAAGGCAAAGAAACGACGCTTGAAGTTCCCTCATCCGCGTCAAGTAAGTATGGGGTGTTTTTTCATGTTATATTTTCAGAACAACTAGGAGAGTTCAATCGTGAAATCCAAACACTCTGCGAATTGGAAATGGTAAGCCGGTCTAGCTGAATTTACAGTCATGTAACAAAAATGACGACTTACCAGGGTGGTGTAGACTTTGCCGCCCTTGTGCATGGCCACATACAGTCCTGTCTGTTGGTGCTTTATTCTTACTACGCTCGTGTCACAGGCCTGAAGCTCAAATTTACCTGCAAGAAAACCATTTTTCAGTCTTTTATAAAAAGCACAAAAAATGTCCCATTAGTCTTTTCATGGAGGGCGTAAGAACTCTACAACGAGTGTTTTCCTTTCCATTTTTGAACTTGGATGCGACTCCTTGCAATTCAACCCCGGAAAATTTGTCTGCGTTTAACAAATTGAGCGAGTAGGATTGAACACGATAAAGATTGAAAGAACGCGTATTTACTCTATTAGTGCCTTTTAAACTGCCATTTTCAGTGGTTATTTCGTAAGCTCCCTTGTATTTACCTTAAATTTCTACAACTAGTAACCGCCTATCTTGACACACCATAGCAGGGCGGATCCAGGATTTTTTTTAGGAGGGGGTGCACTCGTCTCTTGCTCTACTTCAACACCAATAAACCACATAGTTTTTTTTGGCAGAATACCAGTTGTATTAGAAAACCGCAGGTCATCTCAGGGGGGGGGGGGGGGGGGGGGGG